GGATAAAAGAATAGAATCAGGGGAACAAACAAGGGATTTACAAGCATCATAAAAATTATAATATTTCAGTAAGTGATTCGGCAGCTGAGTATGTGAATGTAAAGCCTCGTTTACCCAATGTGAAAATGAGCGCAATGCTTCACTGACTCAATGTGGAAATTAGTGCAATGCCTGGTTTACCCAATGCGAAAATTAGTGCAGTGCCTCGTTTACCCAATGTGAAAATGAGCGCAATGCTTCACTGACTCAATGTGGAAATTAGTGCAATGCCTCATTTCCCTAATGTGCAAATGAATGCAATGCCTAGTTTACCCAGCGTGCAAATTAGTGCAATGCTTCACTGACTCAGTGTGGAAATTAGTGCAATGCCTTGTTTACCCAATGCGAAAATTAGTGCAGTGCCTCGTTTACCCAATGCGGAAATGAACACAGTGCCTATCTACCAATGTGCAAACTTACACAATCCCTAGTTGAGTAACCTGCCAAGACTGCTATGGTTTGAGCACCACAATAACCACGACAGAGCCAAATCCAGCAGGTTGTAACCTGCTTGCTTGATTGCAGATACTCTCGGGCATCATCAGCCGATCAAGCAAGATTGGAATGACGTAGACAAGCTCCCAGGAAAATGAAATAAGGAATATTTACTGGGGGAAGATAGGAAACCCCAAGCAAAGACTTCAGCAACTGCAGTGATGGAGGAACTAACCCTGTTCGTAGAAACAAGGTTCAAACCCTTGTCTGGTTTGTGTTCCTTTCTGGTGTGTGCAACAGATGGCTTGGCCCCCTCTTTTGAACGGGTTGCTTTGTTTCCAGGCCTCCCTTGTTCTTGCAACGGTCAGATTAGTTCTTGTGTTTGTACTGACAAATGGGGGAAGCGACTCTCACAGGAAGCGGCTTGAAATGGGAGCGTCCTCAGCACAGACGGCTCCGTCAGCCTGAGGATCACGCAGTTGATGGAAGGGACTGCAAAACCTCTTGTCTGAGGAGGATGCACGGACATCCCCCACAACAATTTGGGCCGTTACCCAGATTTGCATCAGGTCATCTCCCCTTGCTGCAGACAGTGCGGATCAGCACAAAAAATAGGTTCGTTGGGTGCAAAGCTGAGTCTGGGCCTGCTGAAGCAAGGCGTGTGCGTGCGTGGTTGACCTCACTGTAGGCGTAGTTTGTGTTTCGTTGACGGATTTTCAAACAGTGTCTCCTTCCAGAATTTGCTGAAAAAAGGAGGTCACACTGAAGTGGACCTACCACAGTTCTGTAAAGGAAGCAACATGGAAACGGACAATCTGGTGGTCATCGTTAGAAATGAGGACATTTTTCCACACATTCATGAGGTACGTTCAGAAGTCTCTTTTGGGTCTCCAGGGAAATAACTCTCAGATGTTTATCACTGATGGAGGAGAGTCTTGTTGAAGTCATCTCGGGGAACGTGGTCGATGAATCTGCAGATGTGTTCAAATTCATCTCCGATGTTGCTCAGCCATCAGTAGCTCGGCTGGCTGGGGATCATGGGAGTTGGTCGGAGAAGGCTCTTCTGCAACGTATTTCGTGGTCTTGCAGACCACTTCCAGCAAAGGTGGTTAATGTGGAGGTTGGTTGAGATGTGCTCAGATATCACACAGGGCCAGACTTGTCTGAATCTTCAACGGACGTCGTTGAGCGCAGATTATGTGAATCCAGCTTCAGTCTAAAGGCAGGGGATGAAACTCTGTATAGGTCACCGGGGAAATTATGGGAGGTGGAAACGCAGCCTCAAGAGGTGAGTGGGAGAATCTTCTATGATGGGCCATCAATCTGTTAGCTGGCTGCCCCCAAGTACAGACACATTTTTCAAGGCTGAGTAAGTCGTCTTTTCTGCACGCCGTGTCAATATTTTCTTTGCTTCTTGCGGCTTGCTTGGACCTGGTTCACATATCAAGCTCACCCAGAATGAGATTAGTACGTTTAGTTCAGTGTTTTTCAAACTTGGCCACTTTAAGCTGGGCGGACTTCAACTCCCAGAATTCCCCAGCCAGCTAT